ATAATCTTAATGATGAATATTGGTGCAGTATATGTTCCTAAAAATGTTCCCCCTCCTCTCCCTCTCTATCTTTCTCTCCCTTTCTCTCTCTCTCCCTCATTGTTTTTTCATTCGACTGTCACATTTCTTCCTTTCCCCATTTCTCCCATTATTTTTCCATATTCTCTGTCTATCATACACTTACATTCTCTTCTCTCTCTCATTCACTTATAGCTTCTCCCTCCACTCTCCATCTCTCTCATAACTATCATCTCCTTTTCTCTCCCTCACATTCCCATCTCGGTAATACTCCCTCTATCTCTCTCTCTCTCTCTCTCTCTCTCCCTTTTTTTTTTTTTTACAATATTGGTATCCTTTCTATCCTCTAATCCCCAAAGAGCCTTTAAATCTCTGATCACATCACACAACAATATATCTTCTCGCCCCAACCGACGGAGTCGAGATGTGTCAATCCACCTGCCAATTTTGGCGCCTTTTCCCAGCCACAAATTCAAGCATAAACGGAGATACTATACCTGGATACATTATTGTAGACTGAAGCATACACGTAAATGCATTTGTGTATGATAGGAGAGGCAGCGTTGTAGCTTGTTTATAAACATAATTATGCACATGAAATCGTTGTAGCTGGAGTTGGGGGGGGGGGGGGGCTTTAACATGTTATAACCATGAATGTGCCGCCTATTATTCTATTTTTGTTATAATACTTTGCCAACAACCATCTTTCAGGTTTTGAAAGAACAAGAAAAAACGTTTGACTATGTTCAGGGAGATCTCCCAGCTATGTTTCAAGAATTACGACAAACACACACATTGAGTGAAATATTACCCTCTCAAAATCGTATTTATTTATTATTGTCTGAAGAGAATGTATAGGTTTAGGTATTGGTTTATAATGGTTCTCGACAAAAGATTTCAATGGTTCCTGAATCATAACCACTTTATGTGGCTTTTTCATTCTGTCGAGTGAACATAGGACCTGGCAAGACGGTTCGAGGAAACCTGCCGTAATAAAAGTTAGATAATCCCATGAAAATGTTAAATACATGTCAATATTTTATCCGTATAGGAACATAATAATGCTGAAAGGCACTTTACAGATACTTGCATTGGATCGCCTATTTGAATATGACGCAATTCAAAAAAATTGTGATAATGGGCAGATTTGGGTATATATAGCCAGCTTCTCTCTCGCTCACTCTTTCTTTCCCTCACTCTTTCTTTCCCTCACTCTTTCTTTACCGCACTCTTTCTTTCTCCCCCTCTATCTCTCTCCCCCTTTGGGGGGGGGGGGGGTGATGTACTGTCAAATTAGATGTGCCACATTTGCCCTAACATAACATGCGTCTGCTTTAAAGAAAGAAAACAAAAGGTTTGCGTGTATGTAGACGTTGATGAAAGTACGTCAAACCATTATGAAATATGAAATTCCTCTGATTTCGTCGATTGTAATAAGGGGTAAGTACGGTTGATCAAACGCGCGTCATCTGGGGAAGAAAAATCAATATTTTGGAACGGTTTTGGTCTGAAATATTCCTTTCTTACGGAAATTTCTGTTATCGTAAAAACCTGTCGAAATTTGATAATGAACTACATTGAACTTTCAGTAAAACGACCCGCGCACTGTAGATAGCTTGTATTTGTATAGTGCCATGATTTTGAAATCACGAAGATTTTTACTCTCAAGTTTTGCTTCAGACTGCAAGCAAAACATTTCAACTTGAGGATTTGAACATTGCTCGATATCCTTAGACCTATACTTGCCGAGGCATTTTTTTTTTAAATCTCCAGGCGTTTCTGTCGGCGCATAGTCCACAGATCGGTACTCCGGCGACATTTATATAGATTGATAAAGATATAAGCTTATGTAGAATAGGGTTGTAATTAAGTTTTATGTTAGGATTATGGTTATCGTTAGGTATAGTTTTCGTCCATGTCAGATGGTTGATTGGAGTTAAAGATAAACTTGAGTTCGTGTTACCAAGACTGGGCCAAATTTACTATGATTTTGATGACTCCAGAACCTTCCATTCCACACCCTTTCTTTCACAATGCAATCGCATGACCAGAACTGAACTTGATCTTTAACATATAGGACTAAATGTCGCCAGAGCATTCTTCGTCAATACGATGGCCCCTATTTTCCCGAAATCAACTCGAGGGCAATTTCAATACCCTACTGCATCTCCCACAGACATCGTGTCAGGATTACGTAATACCTTATTGTAACTGTTCGCACATTTTAAAAAAGTGACCGACATTGGTCGTTGCCTTGCTTGGGTTGATTTTTCCAAAGTAGTTGTTGTGGCATTCAGTTGATAGCTCGAACCTCAGATACACCAACGAGACCGACACCAAACCGAGAACAGACCGAAAGAACTATTCAGTAACCCCCCCCCCCCCCAACTGGCGTTGGTTTTAGAGTCGACTTGAATCGGTTTGGTTGTGTGACGCAGGTATCTGCCACACTAACGAGATCGACAACAAACCAAACAAATAACCTTTAAAAACCCGACTGGTGTTGCGGCGATCGGTTAGGAGTCGGTGTTTATCAGTTGGGTGGTGTGGCTGAGCAATGAGCTTGAACTTCAGTGTATTGATCCTTCAGTCACGTCTCAACGCAGACTCCAGACCTACACCAAACCGACCGTTTTTTTAATGTGTGTTCAGTCTGGTGTTGGTCTGACGTAAATAGCAATCTTCTCTCTCATTCTCTCTCTGTCTTTCTCACTCACTCTCTCTGTCTCTCTGCCTCTCTCTCTCGCGCTCTCTCTCTCTCTGCCTCTCTCTCCCTCTCTCTCTCTCTCTCTCTATCCTCTTTTCTATCCCTTTGACTTACGTATGATGTCGCTGTATGCCTATCCACGCTCCTCTGAATAACAGTCGACTAAAAAAAAAGCTTAATATTATTAGATAGCATACTGGATGATTGCTTTTTCAATCAACAGAGGTAATTATATTAATTATTTGCACAGCGGTTCATTCTACTTTGCAATCTCTCTAGATAAAAACGGTATTTGGAAATGGTATATCTTTAATGATGTTAGCCCTCTTTGATGCAAACTACCCAAGATGGTTAAGGAGATGGTACCGCCATTTCCTCCAACCGCAATTCTGACGTCGGTTTCCAATGACGTATGTAGTTATTCTTTATTTTAATTTGAAGAAAAAAAAGAAGGGTTGTTTACACAGATCTTGAAGATAGCCATGCTAAATTGAGTACTGATCACATCATTTCATTGAGAAAGAAACTCTTCCGTAGCAAATGGGAAAGGGTGATTAATTTATGTAAGCCTTTACCGTGAGGTTTTGAAAACTTCAAAATTGTAGAAATTGACTCAGTCTCGTTGAAAAGCACTTACACTACATTTGGCTTTGAAGTGCATTTGCAATTAACATTTCAATTCGGAAAATTTGTGTTGAAATGGACCCAATAGTATTTGTATATACTGGAAAAATTTCACATATGAAATGACTTTAATAGAACCGTTCATTTTCGATAAGTGCTGACAAGACAATAGGAATACAGTTTACTTGGCCTTAAAGGTATAGACCAGTTCTGGTCATGCGATTGCATTGTAAAAGAAACGTTGTGGAATCGATCAGAAAAGGTTGATCATCTAGCATATAAGTATTGGTGTGTACTGCAAGGTTCTAGAATCATCAAAATGATAAGAAATTTGGCCCATTCTTGGTAAAGCTACAATCACTGTACACAGAAAGATGTATATGGGACTACCCTATATCTATCCAGCCCAGATAGATATAATAACTTACCAAATATATCAATTAGTAGGCGATTTCCCGGCAAATTAGTCAAAACATATTCTTTCACATGATTGGTAATAAGAGCTTCCATTTCATATTTAAAAATGGAGGCGTTTCCAAAACTGGTTTTACCTTTAAAGCCTGGCGTGCAAGTCTACACCACATCCATCAGAGCTGTGTCACCTCGTCAGAGTCGGGTCGATTTTGTCGCCGTGTGCAATCACTCGAGAAACATTGTTAATTAAATTTGAGAAATGTATCGCAGATATATAAGGTCAAGGCTATAGAGGAGAAGAAATGACAAACTGTAGAATGCAGAAGTTGTTTTTGCTGCAAAGCATAAACACGATAATCTGTTAATTTCATGTTGTAATTCTTTTACCCTAGTAAATACACAATGGTGATGTGAAAGATAACAATCTTGATTACATTTTTTTTAACACGATGACGGGACCACCTGCGGATCCGGGGGAGAGGTGGTGTGAGGGGCATTGATGAGTTTTTTCTCGTTTGTTTTGCTTTTTGAAGGTTTAGCACCTATTTTCCTTTCTCGTGCAATGTTTTATTTCTTTTCATATGTATAATAAACCATAATACAACATAAAATAAATCACTGATAAAACAAACAATGAACACTTAAAATCAAGACGTGATTAGCCAGTTAAAGGTAAAGACCAGTTATGGTCATGCGATTGCATTGTGAAAGAAACGTTGTGGAATCGATCAGAAAAGGTTGACCATCTAGCATCTAGCATCTGCAAGGTTCTGGAATCATCAAAATTATAAGAAATTTGGCCCATTCTTCGTAAAGTTACAAGCACTATACACAGAAAGATGTATATGGGACTACCCTATATCTCTCACAGACCATGAGAGAAACAAATTTACCAAATATATGAATTAGTAGGCGGTTTCCCGGCAAATTTTTTATCATCATGTATTAGTCAAAACATATTCTTTCACATGATTGGTAATGAGAGCTTTCATTTCATTTTTTGAAATTGGGGCGTTTTCAATACTGGTCTTTACCTTTAATTATTCCCATTATCATCATTGTTATTATTATTATCATTGTTATCATTATTATTATCATTATTAATATCAAAATAATTGTTAGTATTGTTGCTGTTGTTGTTCTTATTATTACACCTATTATCATCAACATCATCATTTTTAGACCTACTTCTATTTATTACGATGTTCTTTTTATATATATTTTTTTTTCTTTACAGAGCAACATGCAGAGTGGACCCGATCAGATCCTGCGCATGGATGGCCTCAGCATAGAGGAGAAATGGCGAATCATCAATGATGAGGTAGGCCTATGTAACAGCTGTTTTTTTACATCATGAAAGAACAAGTAGATATAAATATATGGATAAATGTATTATTATAAGTAAATGAATGAATGAATGAATTATGAATTAACAAACAATAAACAAAAATAAAATTGATGAAAAATATAGTATTAATGACTGCTTTGAGAGAAATAGTTATTTTTATACGCTCTCGGGAAGGTTAGAATTGGGCTATTGCCCTCGGTGAATAGTTGTTTTTATACGCTCAAGGGAAGGTTAGAATTGTGCTATTGCCCCGAGGTGTGCCGAGGGCAATAGCCCAATTCTAACCTTCCCGAGAGCGTATAAAAACAACTATTTCTCGAATATTAAAGCAGTCATTAATACTTTTATATGCCGAAAAGAAATAGACTAAAAAATAAAAAATAAAAAAACTTTTGTCGAAGATGGGATTCGATCTCTTGCGTACAAAAGGTGATGTAATTAAAATCAGCGTCTTAAACCGCTCGGCTATCGCGCTATGTTACCATACTTATCAGTTTTCTCTAATATATACATTAAAATGGATTGAAAACGGCTTCGCGTGATTGATGATTCGCGGCTGCTCCATTAATCGGGCCCTTCTTTTACTTTTGCAATGCATATTGGCACGAACTTAGATCAAGATCTATCGGCAGATGTTGTTTTTTTGTTTTTGGAAGTTTATTTTCGTCTTCATGTCAACAATGCAAGATAAAATTGTCGGTAAGATCGATCGAGATTCAATTGTATTGAAATTACCGACCAATTCTTCGCACACGTACGGTATCCTCGATCGCTCAAATCATTTTTTAACATGTAAACCTATGGGGTAACCATGGAGACTGACCTATTTTCCCAATAACCATGGTTATTGGGAAAATAGGTCTGTTTTTACAGGAACAGTTAAAGTTTATGAATGCAATTTCGACCAATCAGATTGCTGGATTACTTAAGTGAGGTATATAATAATAATAATTATTAATGAATTAATGATTTAATAAATATAACAAGTACTCAAAGAGCTAAATTTAATTAAATAGATAAATAGATATACATATATATATATAAATAGATAAATATATTAATATTTAATGAGTAAATACATGATAGATGAATGAACAAACAAATAAATGAATTCATTTATTAATAAATAAATTGATTACTAGACGAAAAGTCAACGAATGGATAATAAATTGTTTCTTTTATAGCGCTATATCCAATTTACAACTGATCAAAGCGCTTTACAAAACAAATACATCAATGAATTAAAACTCAACAAAAATATGCTAGAAAATGTAATGCAGTTAATTACAATGTAAATAGATGAGCGAAGATTATATGTGGAGTGACGAGAAGATTGTAACAAGGAAGACAAATATTCAGGTGCAACATTATGTGTACATTTGTAAACAAACAGTGCGGTTTTGTACATTATTCTTTTTTTTTCGACGGGTAGCCAATGAAGTTGTCTAAGTAGGGGTGATGCATGAATGGATGAATAAATGAATGAACAAAGAAGTAAACATGCAAATAAATAAACAAACAAATGCATACGTATGTGAATCAATGCTTGAATAGATAAATCAACAAATAAAGGAATAACATGATTGAATAAAGAAAAGGTTGAGTACTGTTAAAGCTGAAATATTTCAAGTATTAGTAATTTGAATTGCACCCTCAGGTATAATATCTAATAGTGAGAAACTTTTTCATACAAATATATGTATGCCCTTGATTTTCAGCAAAACTGAGTGCTGTCTGTTCGAGAACGAGAGACTACTACCTTATGATATTTTCATTTAGAACAATGCTGCAAAATGAAATAATGGAAATGATTATTATCTTATTCGGCAAAGACAGATTCAGGAAAACAGTAAATGAAGAAGAAAAAAACAGTAAAGTTTAAAGTGACTCAAATGGATGCCGGGGGAAAAATAAGGATCATCCGAGGGTCTTCTTTTCTTTCCATGAGACTTTGCATACAATGTTTGCATAACATTTTATAAATGGACCTTATGAAAGTAATTTTAAAGAAGATCGTTAAAAATTGTAGATATTTTGTTTTCAGATCAGAAAAAAATGTTTTTTTTTTTTTTAAATATCTGATGCATTTTCTTTGTTAAGACCACCTCTTATACCAAATTCGAATTGTAAGGTTAACATCCAACAACCCGTAGAATTGCCCTCCGGAATCTTTGATATGTCATCGTAATGTTTGCGCATTTACAAGGTGACACACAAGGATGTTGAAAGTACCTTAGGTCCATTAAAAAAAATGTTGCGTCTGTGTTACATTTAAATTGTGTAACAATGCACACAGATTATGTATATATATATTTTTATTTTTTTGCTAAGTTTCTTTTTATTTATTCCAATTTCAAGATAACATCACAATGATCACATGACAAGATATGATAACATAACAAGAAAAGATGGCTGAAACTATCATAATCACATATGTTAACTTAAATGGAAGTTTATGCAGGAACAAAATAAAGTTTTGTAATTACACTGTCGCTCATAACGTTGGAATATTTTTTTTACCCCAATTTATGGAATTATATTGACTATGATTTATTCCTAATAGATCTAGATAATAGTATACGTTCTCAGATTTTATTTAATAATAATTTGCAGTGTTTGTTTTGCGTGACTGCTAAAGCATATGTATGTTAATATGCTTATCAACTAGGAGACCTACGCCTTTAAGTCATAAATGACAGTAATGAGGATTAATGCCCCACAAAGGGCACTAATATAGCACATCGACACGGTTTTGATCCTGGGGCCTCACAGTTACGAGGCCATTGATGTGCCACTGAACCATAACTGTACGCAGCGGGGGCTAGGGTAGGGGACAGTTCCCACAAATAAAAAAATAAAATGCAATAAAATGCAATAAATTATCAATAATTCATTGCATTTTACCCCGGTCCCCAACATTGAAAAATCCTCTCTACGGCCATCATGCATTATGGCTCAAGGCATGGGCATACAGAAGATTTTTTTTCTGTTGGGGACCGGGGGGGGGGGGAGGGGATTCAATGAATTATTGATAATTTATTGCATTTTCTTTGTTTTTTTAAATAAAAATTTCATAAATTGAGTATAACAAAAATATTCCAACGTTTATCGTTTATAGCGACAGTGTAGAATGGAGTTGTGATCGATTACATAGTTTTTTTTTTCTCCATTTGAATGAAGTCTAAAAACAGATATGAGGTAAAATCGTTCAAGAATAGTTCTCAAATTTCTTATTTTTATTTGTTTATAATTTTAGTCAGTTTATATAGTGACAAAATTAGATTAATTAATGGTCTGTAAATAATTACTCGTAAAAAATTAAAAACCATTCAATATTAAATTTGAAGACCTCATTTGGATTTTTTCATTAATAAAATCGTAAAATTTCTTTCTTTAAATTAAATTTTGCAAAAATATGGAACATAGGTACAACTCCTTAAAATACAGTCGAAAAAGTAAAGGTAGAAAATGTCATTACAACATATTACTAATTGTATTTGGGTTGATAAAAAATAAAAAATAAATTAGCTGGTAGATCTCAAACCTCTTTTATTCCTAATAGTAAAACATTTAATCACTTAATTGATATCAATAATGATCGCTGTTATTTTTACATAGTCATAATCATATGTGAATATAGGGGGAGGGTAACTCCTCCCTGCCATCCCCTCCCTCACCCATTCTATGCATGTTACTCTTTTCTTTTCTTTTTTGTATTCATTGATAATGTTTCTCAAAACTCCCATTCTTTTTCGTACAAAACATATTTCAGTTCTAACGCGTGTATCATTCAGTTGAATTGTCTCACTTTGTTAGATGTCGTAAGAGTTTTCCTTTTCTTTTTAATATAAATTTCCTTTTCCATTTTTATTTTGGTAATAAATATTTTAAATACTAGTTGAATCGATACAAAACTTAGTAGATATCGATTGTAATGAGATTTTTGTCTGTTTCTTAGTTATAGTCATAACAAATTAAGTAAGAATAAAATAATGTAAACAAACTCAACCTAGGGGAATTAATAACATTTATAATTGTTTTACTGCTTTGAAAAAGATTTTATGCAATAAAACCTAAAGTTTTATATGAATCTAAAGTAATTACATCGTGTATAACCGCTTTTAAAACAGTTTTTTAATGTTATATGTATGTGTGTTTCCTCATGAGCAAATAACACACAAAATACACGCTATTACAGTGTGTGCTTAGGCGCACACTGACCAACGTGTGGGACTTAAATTACTCTTTGGAACTGGATTGCGATTTGTTAGTCGCGATCCTACATTTAATCTAGAATAAAAGTAAGGTGAGATGACATGTCACATGTACGTCAGAGATGATGGACCGGGACACAGTTTCATCATTTGCACGTTAGTTCCTTGATCTAGCTCTGCCACTAACGATCAGACTCCCATCAGATCCGGATTCTCTGTAAAGTACTTCTCACCTTGCCCGGGCCGGGACAACCACCCCATATACTCCCTCCGCTCTTCTCAAGCCATCATACTCAACAATATGCTTCCTACACTGTTTTGGTGATTTGGTGAATTTTTTTTTTTTTTATGGTCAGTTTTTATTCTTTTCTCTCTTGAAACAAATTATAATCATCATATGTAACGCTCACTGCAAATGTGATGACATTATAAATCAGTATAAATTTTTGTCTTACAAACGGCTTCAAAAGAAACTTACATAGTTAGTTCCTATACATCATATTTGAAACAAAAATTCATATTTTCAAAGAAAACATATGCAGTTGGTTAATCCAAAAATTTTGTTTTAACAATGTAGCAACTTATACTTCTTTTATACTGTTGTCCTGAGAGAAAAGTTTTCTCTTTTTGTTAACCCTACCCTACCCGACCTCTCCCTTATCCCCCCCCCCCCCTCTTAAATGATATACTGAACCGGTGCTGTGAGCGCTAATGATTGGTCAGCTGTCATGTCATTCCTCATACGACGTTTCTTTATCC